TGCCCGGATACGCCAACATGTTTTTATTATTGCCCTGATACGCCAACATGATTTTTACTATTGCCCGGATACGCCAACATGATTTTTTCTATTGCCCTGATATGACCACATGATTTTTACTATTGTCCGGATACGCCACCATGATTTTTACTATTGCTCGGATACGCCAACATGATTTTTGCTGTTGCCATGATTTTTACTATTGCCCGGATACGCCAACATGATTTTTTTTGCGATTGCCTGGATACGCCAACATGATTTTTTTGCGATTGCCTGGATACGCCAACATGACTTTGTCGTTGTCTGGATACGCTGGCTTTGGACATTTGCCGATCTTTATACAGAATCGATATTTTCTCAGATGTAAAACAGCGGGTGTATCAGCTGTTTGAGGTTATCAGTTGTGTTAATGATAAAGTACCAGAAAGAACAAATGAGGTCAGATTAATTGTATTGTAAATAACGTTTTATTATTGTTTGTATACATTTCACATGTCAACAAAGTAAAATATCTAAAATAAAATATTTGAGACGTGTTCAGCCATGGAATATGGAGGATTATTTATTATGCACTGACAAAAATCATTTAATATGTTTTGCATCGGATAATCTCGTCAATGATTACTGAACAGCTTTTAACACGAGAAATAACGCATTTACATCAATCAAAATACAAACATTGGTTTGTATATACTATACTTGGTGCCTTGCTACATAACCAGACATTAAGGGGCATCATGAGAACAGATGTATATAAAGATACTGTGGGGACATTGGTGTATCGATATTATGAAGACACTGATGTATAGATTTTGAGTGGTCACTGGTAAGATACTTAGTGCTCTAGGAACACTAGTAGTTATCCTTGGGACACTCGTCACTGGTAAGGCATAGTGGGGACACTGGCATAGAAATATATGTAAGTCTGAATATAGAATTATTATGAGGACACCCGTGACATTTTAGGTAAAGCGATGTAATGAATTTAAATGACAATTTCGCATATTTCGCAATTAACAAAACTATCTATGTCATAATTTAGTGTGATATTAAAGGTGGTCACCACTTAAATGGTCATTACTCTCAGAGGCCTTTCGCTGTTTTCTTTACCATTTTGGACGATCGGGTGTCCAGCATGACCAGGCGAATACTTTTCTAAAAATAGCGCGATCTCAAACTTTTTAGAACACTACAGGGGCGATGTGTATCGAAAACGAGACAACACAAACCAATTGAAATGTGCATCAAAATGTGGGAGATGAATCTGGATCATATGCAAAGGCAAATCCTATAAATATCTCGAGGTCATTGCCCCTTCCATTGTATAGGTTAGAGATACAATACTACAATACACAAAATTTTCTTTCGGCCAAGATTATACACAAAGCATCATGTGATTCGAAGGCTTGATATAGCTGTTACACGTACTTAGTCAGCCTGACAAGTTCCTTTATTAGCTATGTAATTAGTAATTTTCTGGATATTAATGGAATAATGTATGAAATGAGTTGTATAGACAAACTAAACTTTCTACTCGCGGTGACCACCTTTAAATCTAAAATAAGAAATGACACAAATTTCGCTGGGATGATAATAATACTGGCCTGTACATAGTAACACCTAATAATCAGTAGCGCATAATTTACCAAATGAAGGAGACACAAACAAGACGTCCTGTAATTACTGTCTCATGAATCATAGAACTCTAATTATAGCACGATATCAAATTAAATGAGAACCATTGGGTGTAGAAAACACTACCATATATCAAAAGAAGATAGCCTTCTACATAACAGTATAAGTCATTTTGGCATTATATAGGTCTATCAATGCGCAGCTGAGATATACATTTTCATTTACTTAAACCTATATCGTTTAGATCTACTTCATTGTATCATTGAATAAACTGTTTTGCTGATCTAAATTTCAATTCATTAGTTATTTCAGTTGCAGGGTCGTGCCGTCCCATATACCGACCAGTCGCTTTAAATTTAAACGGCCTACATACTACTAGCACTTTCCAGGCGACGTATGCTGCCAGCATATGACACTTAAAAAAACGTTGACATAAAAAACATTAAATATTCCCGTTCTTATGTCTATCTAATCTTTAATAAAGACAGAGAAAATTTATAGATTCATAGCAGGTTCAATTATATTTTCTCGTCAACAAATAAATTTTCAGCAATGATAACAATGTGCTTTTATAAACTATGACGTCAAAAACTATTTTTTTATGGAAACGAACATTATCAATATAACGTGCCAATTGTTATTGTGATTATATGATACATTCAATTCACACAATAACGGGCGAAGACTTCTACCTTACTCCTAACTACCGACCGTTCCGCATCATTGACTCTGTAAATTGCATTGCACATTGATATATATCGATATGTTGATTATGCAGGTTGCCCGGCAGTCGTTGTTTAGTATGCAATCAGTGTATAATGGAGAGCACAATGGCAATAATCAGTACTTATCTTGGAGTTTTGAATTTAAAGTGGACATTATATCGAGTAAACACCATAAAAAGTAAAGGACGTTATGTTTAATAGACGGATGCTTTTAAGATTTCGGTATGCATAAATAATGTGAAATAAACTCTTACTGAACAGAAGAAGAGTACACAAGGGTTATCGGAAGGAAAACCACATCAAAGGAATGGTTTAAGTATAATGTGATATACATCAGCTTCAAAAAAAAAATATTATGAAAAGAATTACTCATTTTGAACAGAAACACATATCCACCATTCCCAATTATGCTGCGGACCATAACAGAATGAAGACAAAAATAATACTTGGTTTGTTGGTATGCATAATTAAAATGAATTGCTTATTTGTGATTCCTCAAAAAATATTTCACAATGCTGGGAAAAAATCTCCAATCTAACATTGAATTAATGATATGTAAACATTACAATTTTTCACAACTACTGGTTAATCTACTGTATCTCGTACGTACTGGTCTGACCGTGTCCTATTCTCACGTCCAACGTCAACACTACGTCAGTGTGTTTTGGTTTGTGATATTAACTTATTCTAACACATAGTCAACATCATGTCGACAAATGCTGAAAGTAATGTTAAAATATTCTAACACAAATAGTCAACACCTTGTCGACAAATGCTGGAGTCAATGTTAACATATTCTAACACACATAGTCAACACCTTGTCGACAAATGCTGGAGTCAATGTTAACATATTATAACACACATAGTCAACACTATGTCAACATCATATGCTAAAAGTAATGTCAACATCTTTTAACACATAGTCAACACTATGTCAACATCTTCTAATACACATAGTCAACACCATGTCGACATCATATGCTGAAAATATCAACATATTCTAACATACATAGTCAACACTATGTCGACATCATATGCTGAAAATATCAACACATTCTAACACACATAGTCAACACTATGTCGACATATGCTGAAAGTAATGTCAACATCTTCTAACACATAGTCAACACTATGTCAACATATTCTAACACACATAGTCAACACTATGTCGACATATGCTGAAATTACACTCTTTTGCAAACACTTTTCAACTAAGCAGATGCTAATGGCGTTAGAGACCATACACTGCTTAGAATGTCTGACTCAAAAATACATGCTAAGATATGTAGAAATATAATCTTAATACAACTAACCGACCGGATCAATATCTTACTATCATCTACATAAAAAAATCTACGGAATGAAATGGATTTCACAAACAATATTTAACAAAATAATTTTCGAGTGACTCATACACACGGAGTTTGTTAGATCAGAACGTTTCATTCTGACAGAACACTTTTTGGATTTTTGAAGTAAGTTTGATTCCCGTCTATTAATCCTGAGTATGAATCACTGCATTTCTAACATAAGTCACCTACAATATACACATCATCTTTCTTACATTTGTACCATGATCCTTCAGCTTTACCAAAAATACATATTCTTTCAAAACATAAACTTTTAAACATATTTTTCTTTTTTTCATTAAGACTTTGGAGATAAACTCAACGCTTAATCGATTTACCCATAAAAAGAAAGCGTTCCCCTGACCAAGCTATTTCTATACTTTGAGGGAACTAAAGAATAATCAACTGATTTATTTATACAATATGCAGAAACAAAGAATCGTAAATTTTCGGGATTTTTTGACGTAATATTTTTCTTTGAAATTGAAATAGGAACTTGGAAAGCTGGTTAACTTCTTACAACATCAATATTATTATTTTCAAGTCAAATAAAACTAAAAAAAAGTCGTCAATAAAACAGAAGAGACATACTTTTGTTTTCAAATTTTGTGACATGTATTATGAGTATTCAAATATTTCTTTTACAAATAACATTTCAACAACATATTTCAATCAAATATATGTATATAATATATATATAATATATAACTTTTTGTAGCTTCATATTCATATGCAACAATTTGTGAGATATTTATAAATCTTATGGTACATATCTGCTATGATTACAAATATATACGAACATAAGTAACAATAAACATGAAGAAACACACGATAACAAATTGAGACAATTCGAAGTATGGGTATGGAATGGTCAAATCGGATGATATGTGTTATCTTGATATGTGTCATTATTGGGTTAAAGTATATACTACTTGTATGCGTCACTACATCGTTTGATTATTGGGTCCATCAGCAGGTCACACACACGTTTGACTAGTATAAATATTCACGTTGCTGATCCCCTTCTTTGTATTGCTTGACTCTGTATTATGCTTTTTGTGGAATGATTGCTGCTGAGCCTTGCTGCTGTTCCGATGTGACGTAACATGAACGAATATTCAGTCCAATAAGTACAAAATTGTCTTAACTCATCAATATGAATTACTTTGTGTCCATTGGCTGATTCCTGAGATCAAAGAGCTTCGGCGTCCTTCTCGTCGTCGGCGGGAACGGATTGGCGGGGACAGTCGGGGGACTGTTGTGGTATATCACCTGGGCACTATCGGTCACTTTAATTTGGGTCTATTTCTGTTAGTATCACTTCATAATCTTTGTCTTCGTTGATTTCATTAAGTTCGATCATGAATGTGGATTCGTGGGAATAGTGTCGTACGATGTTGTCGTCCATTCTCACTAGGATTCTGTAAGACACATAAAGGAAACACTGATAAATGATTGTACAAAGAAATCTCAGTAAGTAGCTGAGCGAACAGCTCTCTCGTCATTCTAGGTCGCTTTAGCGATGCCAGGTATCAAAAGTATTGAAAATCAGTATGGAAGTAACATCAAAATAGGTCAATAGCTGTGTATTTAATCCATAAGTCAATTAATCTTGATAATTAAAATAAACGATATAAAATGTACAGTATGAATTAAACATACCCTTTCTTTGATCGTTTGTATGTACTTTTGACCTTGGAAGCTGCTACGTTGTATTTCTCCTGTACCTGTAATACACAAACAAATATAACATAAACAAAGTATGTATCAAATAGGTATTCAACATATAGAATTATTATTCATTGACATATTAGATCTTTATTATCATTTCTGATGAACATATTGCAGCGTTTCCTCTCCAAATAGTACTTACCGCTTGTAGCAAGCCTTGTAGCGTTGGTGTTCGTAACATTAGAGCGGTGAAGACAGTTTCGTGTTGCTCTCGGACGTACAGAAGGACTGTAAGTAAACAAGTATTATTAGCACTGCGGACGTACACAAGACCTTTAGGTAAGCAAGTATTATTAGCACAACATGACGGACGTACTGAAGGAATATAACTGAACAAATTTCATTGGTACCGCGATTATTCACAATCTATACACTATTGGACAGAGAAGAATGAATTTCAGAATTTAATCAATTGTCATTAATCTAAACATATTTTATTGCCAAGTGTATTAGCAAAAATATTAGACACAAGTTAAGTCATTAATTTATCTATCCGGCTAATATATGTCATCTACCTTAAAGACTTAAATTTTTAAATATCGTTCAAGATCTTAATACATGTCCATTTCCATCGGATTGTTTAAAGAAATTCTAGACAGAAATTAAAACGGAACTTTCGGTAAGTAAAATAAGCAATTTACTTTTTGGGTAATCCATGTATTGCCCATAGGAGTCACGTCTCTGTCGCTTTGCCAAGGGATACATGGCGTCATCCAGACAATCACCTGTGCTGTTGAGACTGTCAACAAAGGAGTCAGACATGCAGTGAGCCATACACAATTCTACTTTCATTTTATCCGAAAGCGTGTAATTTACTACAACAAACATCTTTTCGGGAATTTTTTCCTGGACTGGTTACAAGTGTATATATATCTGGTGTAATAAAAGTGAGAAAACTTCTGTTCTCGCCGTGTTTAACGGTGCACATGTTATGGTCACGTGAAGTTTACATTTAGTCTATGACCATATATGGTTTTTAACATTACTCCAAATTCAATTGTCTGAATATGAGTTTAATACAAATTTTCACGACCTATTTTATTATAATTACCTTGAGTTTCCATCGTCATCTTGCAGAAGACCATTGACAGGGCTCGACTAGAAAACAAAGTCATTAAAATGAGATTAACATCAAAATGGAGACATGTTTCTATAAACTGACAATAACTGAAGTAGGATGGGTGTAATTCTTTGTATTAATGATGGGAAAGTTTTCTATCAACATGTGATATAGATGCAATAGATAGAAGAAGAAGAATTTATATAGCCGAGTAAATTTATTCAAAAAGAATAATTAAATTCGGCTATTATGTTTTGCTACGTGCATGTCTTCCTAAACTATCGAACATTGAACCGGAAATAACAAAGCAACGCATGCGTACTTGGTAAAAATATATTCCCTTTCAATTTTACAGAATGTCGTATTTTTGCCATACTTTATCTTGACCCCTGTTTTTCGATTTTAGTTAGGATTACAATATCTCATCAATCGGACGGATACCTTAGTGGATTCCTCTTGGTCATTGGCGGGCGTGAAGAGGACTGGAAACGTTTGTGTCTCTGCCATGGAATAAAATTCCGATCTTTCACATGGGGGCCAGTATACCTCCTGCTCATTTCGCTTCCGTGCTGAAAAGAAAATCATCAAAAAATGTTGAAATATAGGGAAAAAATTGATATATGTCTGTATTATTGGCAGTGTTCTGATAGCTGATTTATAACAGCATCGCTGGTATTAGAAATGAACCAAAACTCATTGAATATCGAAGGCTAGGTATCAATTTACGTTGTATTTATCAAGCAGTAAATTGACTAAGACGGTAATGATCATTAAAACTCTTTACACGCACGTACGATAAAGTGTCCTTTGAACAAGCTAATACTTACATGAGGAGTGGGATACATCACACTTTGCTCGGTTTGTTCGTCGTCTGTCTTCATCCCTTGTCTTTCTCTCCGCACCCTGAACACACACAAGTAATATGATATGAAGCCAAAGAAATGAAGACAATACATGATCAATGCATAGCCAAATATATAAAGTATTACTTGTCAAAGAGAAGGTTAATTAATTCATGGCCGACAATTCGATATAATTATACAGGAGATGTGTGGTAATCACTGTGAATCATTAATTTTGTTGTCATTGTCCTATTGTAATCAAACAGTTACAAGCTTCAGAAGTTGCGTGGTAGATACGCGGGCAATTACAGAACAAGAACAGAGACTCTGTTGTGTATATATGATTAATAAATTATGATAACATTATGCAAATTGGACGCCATAAAAATTTAACACCAAAGGCAATAATTACGTGGACTGGGTCAGAGGTCATGCTTACCTTGTCACAGAATACTTTGATTTGACAGTAACCGCGGTGGACAGGGTAAGGGTCTTTGTGATTCTCGAATGTATCTATCTGAATGTGGAGGGGGAATCCCTGAAAAAAAATATATATGTTAATAAAATGATAACCTGACAGGGATAAAATGTTTAATGTAAATATGTAATAAGGTTTAACCTTTTGATGTTAATGTATTAATTAATTACTTGGCATAAACAACAATAGTTATGAGATTAGATGAAGACTGACACCAGATTTAAATCTGCCCGTAAACCTATCGAGATATCAAGTACAGCAGGAAACCGTTCTACCAAAATCAACTTCCTTCTTTTAAAACTATTTATTTTATCCCTTGCAACAGGACGTGTTTGTTGAGTAATAATTCGAATATTTGGGTTTTTAAAAGTAAATTTGCTGTACTCTCAGTATACGGTTTATCGTGCTCTTCTGTCAATATTAAGCGTATTTACATTAGCTTGTGAAGGTTTCACTACTAAGATCAACTGGAAACTATACTTGTAGTTTGTGAGGTTGGGGGCAATTAATGTCTTAAGTATAAAAAAAACTATTGACTTATCGTGAAAGTCTTCAACAGGAAAAAGCACAAGCCCAACAGGGAATAAGTCTTTAATATTGAGAATGAAACGCAAGACAAGGCTAACGTACTAAACACTACAGATTGGAGGGGTCGACTGTGGGCTTTATTCCTTCTGGTATTTAATAATTAACATTCAATGTTTAACATTTGATAACAGATGACTTACATTATAAAGTTTTAATGTTAAATCAATAAATCAGCGTGAAGCTGTCATCAAATAGACGTTTGAGAAAAACACGGCAAAGTATTGAATGACAATGGATCGTGTTGTCTGTAGTAATAACTGTTTTGACTCCCTTTTCTGTAATCGGACGATGTGGTGTTATGTTTGACTAACCTTGACTCCTTTCTGGTTACTGAAGTCTGTACTCAGACAGTGGACGGCAATATTCACCTAATAAAGGAAACGATCAAATATTCAAAGATGCACTCATGATTCTTTGATTTTGTTATGAAATTCAATATGTTAAATTAATATAAGGAAATAAAAACATTTCCGAGATCACATGTCAAGGATATATACTTATTGATTATATCAGATAATTTTATAATAATTTACAGGAAGCAAGTGATGATTCACTCATAAGAACTTGACGCCTGTTACCATTTCGGTACACACCTTAACTGGCGAGTCACGTGGGTTCCATTTCACCGCGACCGCGTTGAAAGCTACTTCTGTTATACTACTGGGAAGGATGCCTTGGCTGTCCTTGGTGTCTAGAGTTAGAAAACATCACAATGAATTGAAGAAATACATTAACATTCTTTAAATACAAAGGTTGATATCGTCTCATAGGTTCAGAATCACACAGTGTTGGAACATTCCCGATCAAACAAACAGGATATCTATCAGAGGTTGATCAGGAGTAAAGGTTTCAATGTATGCAGACCATTTCATCACGTCCTTTTACAAATTCAAAATCAGCATTCATGAAATTATTGATATTTCAAAACATATCATAAGAGTATTTAAACGCCTACAGAACTGGCGTTTATGAATTTGAAGTCAGGTTACGCATGATAAAATCTTTTAACTAAATAGATTTGAATAAGAAAGCATCTCAGAGAGCGTACGATCAGAGTAAATTCATCGCCCTCTACAAGTTTATGATGTTATAATAGAGAAAAAGCACATTCAACATCGCCATAAAAACGACAACAAAAGATGGGAGCAACGGGATTTATTAGTTTCTGTCAGTATCTAAACGGGAGGAAAGTTAATACGAGGAGAGGATAAGGGGCATTACACATTTTATACGGGTCAAAAGTGTAAGAGATATTGAATATCCTACCGACAGCATTTGTGATACTCTATCATATATATATTTCACATCTTTCAAAACAATCTGACTTCTTAATCTTAAACTGATTTACATGTTTAATGTGAGTAGTAAATCGCAATCAAACTCAGATGAATGAAAATGAAACTGTTTGTAGCAGTAGTTAGATTGTTTATGAGACATGCAATATCAATAAAGATCCAACAGCGATATGTCATACATCAACTGTCTCACACAAACACCTCGACATGTTACTGAACGACCAGGCAGCGATACCTGCACTTCAAATAAAATTATTTCATACTTAACTCGAGGTAATTAAGCACGTGCTAAGGTGGAGTTGTTTGAAATAGACAACATTTTGAACTACTTTTAAAGATTTTTTAAACGTTTGTCTTTCATTATCATACGTCTGCATTCAGTTACTGACTTAGTGTCAAATGTCTCAAAGTTGTGTCTGCATGCATGTAGAAATTGGTGATAAATTTAGGTAGTTATGTAATATATTTACACTCCCTTTTAAAAATAATGAATAGATTACACGTGGTTTCGTTAGTGACAAACATCTGTTTGTTAATATTCAGGGGGCTACATGTGAACGTTTGTAGACAGTGTTGTCACATACCTATATCTAAGACTCGTTGTTTGTAGCTGTGCTGTCTCGAATGCCAAAATTCCCATGCTTTTCTCTCATCCTCTAATGACTTGTCATCACGGAATACAACCATAATAACCGACTGAAAAGATAACGATGATAAATATGACTATCAACCTCATTTGTACTGAACATCTGTTAACAAGAATTAGTTCAAATATTGCCTGGAATGACATATTATTGAAATGACAATGTTGCATATCCTACCTTAGCCATCTGACACTGAGGAATTCTGTCAGCGTTAAACTCCAGTGTGAGACCGTAATATTGTCCTGAAACAAACGTACATTATACAGAGCGTATAAATCGTCATCAATTCTGTATTACGTAAAACAGGAAAAAATTGAAATAAAAATATATGTTTGATGTTTTTTAATTTACTGAAGATGGAAGTGAAAACTAGAGAATTTTATTAAAATGATAAAGTTTTTCGAGAGTTAAACATAAGATCTTGATACTATAGGTATGAAAAAAAGATATGTGCCAGACATCCCTATTTGTTAATTGTTTTTACCACTAAGGGGTTTAGAGGCAACCACTAAACAGGTGAATAACTACCGATGTTCCGGAATAGAAATTCATTTTTACCTTTGTTTAGGTATGTGATTCGGTCCTCTTCAACTCGTACAGATGTAGAAATTGGAGTCTCCATGGTATATTTGTAACCAGTTGTATTCAACTCCCTGTAGTAAGATTATTATTTACTAAACATGTAATTCACGATTGAGTCAGCAAAATAAGCACATACAATAATATAAATCCATTTTATTTCACGAGATAGGTAATGTAACAACAGGAGGTGCTTGGTGTTGAACTACATCTGGAGTAATTTTTACATTATTAGAAATCAACAGTTCAGAAACCTCTTTGTATTAAAAACCGTTTTTGTTGTAACGTTAGAATTAGTTATGTGCAGCATGTTTACCTATAAATAAACATCAATGCGGCGTGTTATGTAAGTATGGTATGTTTTCAGCGTCAACACTTATTAAATCAGAGCGACCACACACTCTGTGGTAGTATCGCACGTGTTGACTCAGCGTTTCAGGTGCACCACAATATATAAAACATCACATTATAAAGAATTAATGAAAAAAACAACAAAATAACACCCGAGATCGGCATTTCCTAATGTCATGTTTTTCAAAGAAATGTTTTTATCCGTGCCTTGGCTTACTGATTCAGAGTTATAATATGGGCGAGAACTTAATCAGTTTTTCAAGTATACAATTTCACCTCAAAACTGATTTGTGCTGATTTAAGACGTATTTGGTTGTCAACTGCAGATGTTACGAAAAAATTGAATGAACATTTAAAAATGATTTAAAATTCGAAACCATTGTTTTTTTCAGAAACTTAAGAAAGCATTAGTAACACGTTCACCTTGCACTTATCAGCCGGGTTAAAAGTTTGGCAATTAAATTTGACAACACCTGAAAAATGACGCCGTTGTCAAGGTCTCGTCAGTAACTTTAAGGTCAACCTATTTTTTGAATGTTGTTTTCCTTATAATACAATCTTAATAAATCATGAGAATACGGTTATGTTTCCCGTTTGTATGACACCGACGATATCTTGCCCTCACACGGATATATCATTCGGCAGTGTTTTTTTTTATAATTCGTTGAAAGATTGATAACTTTTTTATAAAAAAAAAACATGCCACCATGCTATTTGACAGCGACGCATATCTAGATTTCTATTCCGCCTCTGTCGGCTTTGCAAGCATATCAATGGCGAAGCATAGAAATGGTCGCGACTGCATGTTTCAATATTACACGGGGCCTGTTTAATTAAACTATCAAATTGCATATGTATGAAAGTTTCCTGGTTGTGATTTTTAATGGTATTCATCCTTTAGATACTACACGTACTTTAACATTTATATACACAAATACTTTGTTTGAAAGATTTGGAACATTTTTAAAATCAAATTAGCATAGTCACCAAAAAATATTCTTATGAACAAGATAACGTGTACTTTAAAATGAAATACGAATGCTTATATAAAATGGTAATGTATGCTGTTTGTAATTCAGATAAAAAAATAAAAACTAACACTTGTGTATATCAATAACCAGAATAAGACTTGCCTGCTGTCTCTAAATATATAAATATATTAATGTACTGCGCTACATTTTAAACCAAAGTGAACCGTAACTTATGATATTTCATACCTCCTAATCATCATATTGGAGTATTAATACATAGCAGGGATAAAATATAATGCCATGCAATTTCGAAACAACTTTCAAAGAATTTAAACCAAAACACATGTCTGCATCTGGACAAGGGCAATAACTCCTTATAAAAAATGGAATGGTACATTGAGCCAAAATACATCACGGATACTGGAAAGTTGTACGGACGGACGGATCACGTCAATAAGTGGACAGACGCATGGAGAGACAAAAATATTATTACACTTTCGTTTCTATTGTTGAATATAAATATTTAATACAAATGTACTTAAAACAGTGCATAAATAAGACATATACGGTAATTAATGTTAACTTACAGTTTGGGGATTGTCGTGCTGTAATTAACTTTATCATTTCCGGGCCAGAAGGCACATCCTTTCGATGAATAGTTGGTTGTTGTAGCTGATTTTCGTCTCCGTTTTTGTCCGGCAGTTGCTCCATTAGTGGTACCTTCTTGATAGTTAGAATTCCCATCCTTATAAGCCTGTAATACCGAGGAGAATGATGATCATACGAAATCTGGTATTAGTTTGGATAATGCAGTTTTCTAACATAATTCAATTGAAACCATATTTTTTCCTCGTTTAGATAAATAGCTAGTTAGTTATTAAAGTTCGATTGTACTAAACATATATATCTTTTTAAAAGAAATAATATACTCCAAGAGAATTTGACTCGATATTGAAATATTTCCCACGGAGTCTTGCAGAATGACACGAGAATTGTTTACTCTAAAGGGTTGTATTTCCGCGACAAAGAAAACATAATCATCGTAATTATATCAATTATCATGTAACAATCGTACAAACAACAGAATCAAACGCTAGTATGCTAAGTGAAAGACAATAGAGTGTGATATCCTCGGGCGGCTAGTGTCCGACGCTGTCGACTAATAAACAATGATTACCAAACAATAAAAGAATGGTGAAGGCCATTGTAGTGATTATCTACCCTGTCGGCGCCCTAAAGGCCCGCGGCTCAAACCTCCTTCATATCACACCGATCAATACTTACCTGGTGGATTAATACGATTAAGGAATTAATTAGGAGTTCTTAGTGTCTACATATCTCTATACATTGTCAATATTTATTTTACCTGTAGGCTACAGAATGCTTTTGTTTTGTCGATAAGACGTGTGACTAACAAAAAAAGGATAATAATAAATAGATAAAATGAAATAAAAAAATGACTATCGCTACTGATTTTATTCAGGTAAAAAATATTTTTTCGCAGTATCCGTGGATAGTATATAAAAATAATGAAAATTTGAACTGCATTACTGACTAGGTCCTCCTACCAACCTATATATTTTCACCGACAGTTCTTGAAGGCCATTTGGTACACGCCAAAAAAGTAATTTATGATGTTCTGTGTATCGATATAGCTTCACACAAATCTTAATTTAGTGATATTAAGTATGGATAACATCTTATCTAAAGGAAAAAATCCAGATATCTACTCCCTTAATCATTAGTCCTATTCTCAATCGTTCATATCGTGAATTCGTGTGTAAGTTAGATACAAAAGTAAATAAAAGTTATAAATATGCGACACCTGTCACGTGATGGTGATATGAACGACTGTAAATAATTTTAAGATTAAAAGATTTGTTTTGCAAGCCAATCAGGGTTCTCTATACACCAGACCATATAAAAGTCTTAAAAGGTCGCTTATTGCTCCAATGCACAATAGTATGTAATAAACCATTATGATTCAGCGTTTGCCCTAGAATAGGGAGCGATCACACAAACTTCTGAATTGATGACACATTTGAATTAAACGGAAACATAAATTATCCTTTTTTAGCACCAATATTGTATAAGTATTTTGCTGCATTGCACACGCCTCACCAAACACCTGCATCCATTAATTTCATACCTTTCTCTAGTAAAAGCCCCTCTCCACCAAAGTGTATTTATTTTTATCAAAAATAATGTTTCACGTGTATCACATCCAAATGACAGTGTATGGTTGTTACTGGGACAGAGCAAAACACTACAATACCTACCGCATTGAACATGACACGTTTCCTATGGAATATTGAACTTTGAAAGAAGATCTCCGGCGACGAAATGGAATTTTCTTAGAAGCATTTTTATCAAATTGAGAATGAAATACTTTATAAATACTCACGATGGCTTTCACGTTGTTCGGAGAGAGACAGGGCTCTTGGTAGCCACTATCCGGCGACTTCATGGCGTAATTTTGATTGTCTTTGATCACATACGGGTACATCTGTTGATTCTCGTGGAAGTATTGCTGCTGTTGAATGTAGCGCTCGAGCATGGAATCTCTCTCCGGGGCCTGCCCCTCCGACGGGGGGCTGCTCAGCGCAGGGTACATGTACCCATTAGCACTGGGGTAAGATGGAGGATAGGAATTTTGTCGGACTGGCGTCACGTTGTGAGTTGCCTGTGAGTTAGTATTAATGTTCGACTGGTAGGTCGTGTGTACGTTGTGGATGATTTGCACAGGTTGAACACTTTGTGAATACGTGTACTGACCGGCCTGTTGCTGCTGCTGTTGAAGCGCCGAGGTGTTCACTGGCATCTGGAGCGCCGACATGGTATCACATAACACGGAGGAGGGAGCGCTCTGCGCCATATGGTCGGTTATGCCGGACGTTGCTATGGCCGTATTTAACGGTAAAATAGATAAAGTGTCATCCACTGGCGAAACGTTCCCGTTCAAATGAGAATAGTCCGGTAATATTTCGGTTTTTACTGGATATAGAGGTAAGTTATTACCCACATGCATACTGGGCTGAGAATCGTGTACATAGCCATTGATACAAGAAGCTGACGATACTGCCGCCATAGCACAGTTATTACCGTTATTAACCATTGTTTGTTGATTCAGTTTCTTTAAAATTTTCTCGTTCAATGCCTTAGAAATTCTTTTGGTAACACCGTTAGTCTTTGGCTGGTCAGTGGTGTTAGTGTCCGAAGTGTCACTATATTGGGAAGTCTCCGCAGACACAGTGTCAACTGTTTTTACCTCTACGCTGCTAATTGAAGTAATTGCGTGAGTTACGGGTGTGCAGTCCTTATAAAGCGAGACCTCCTCGCCTGAGGGCACCAATTGTACAAGGTGTTCCGGACTTACAGACGCACTCTCTGCCGGATAGGCTGGTGGACTTGCGGAAGGAACCGAGCATGACGTAGGTGACGCGGTTGTCTCCATCCGCGCATCGCTCAAGGCATCCTCAGCTGTAGCTTCAAGAAGCGGGGTGTCTTCCAACGGGTCACCTTCCAAAGACATGGTTTGGCTTTCCTCAGTCTGTGAAAAAAGTAATTGACAGATAATTACAATAATTTGATCAAATAAAAACAGTTGGCTTTTGCAAGATACTTGAAATTGATTATTAAGAAATATACGCCCTGTCCAATAATTTATAGCATTTCATAACCACCTATTTACCATGCTTTATTACTACAAAAACATGATAATCACCCTATGTAGAAGATAAAAATGGTATCGTTATATACTATACAGGTACATATGTCCAATAAATCAGTGTAATGCTGTCAGGTCATTTTTTCTGGTGATCATGTAAGAACCTTTTATTTCAAATTCATTTCTAAATGCAACAATGAATACGGAATGTTTGAAGTTGTGAGGAGAAAGCTTGGTTATTGTTCGGTTACGTGATGGTTAAGTGTGATATATGACTGCCAGATTTTACACGCTGTTGTGATAGTTTTACTCACAGGCGCATGTTTACCTGTCTATAATACAGATGTATACATATATATGTATGGTCCCATCATTGTGTCGTCAATTAATTTGTTTATTCAACTGTCTGTAAACAAATTTTATTTGTGTATGTAGTTATTGTCCTGTGAATCTCTATACGTAATATATAATGAAACCATCTTCAAATATTTTGTCATATTGTGTATAACTGATGGCATATGTTTCTTAAAATTAGAATATTGAATTGAAATATATACATCTACGCTTGTGCAAGCATCACAAATATTTTTAGGTTAGAAGATGTAATTCGTGGAAGTCAGTACTTTATTTTTTTAACCTTTGTCTTGGTCAAAACGTAAAACAGTCTGTTGTTTTGTATAGTCTATTCCGAGTCTGATGTGTAACCTATACTAGTAATGTGTGTGGTTAGTTATAACAACCTGAGACAGCTTCTTCTTATATGTTGTGTCTATATAGATAAGTACTTTTTTTACACTGATTCACAAGAATCGTCCGTGCATAGTATCCTATGATAATACAAGATTTCTGTTTATAGATTTCACATTTCCATTTGCAGATATGTCTGGTTTGAAGGGCTGATTTTCACTGAGGTGTTTTGATGTTATCAAACAGGAAATTTGAGATGGCATTCATTGCGCAATAATAATATCTTTTAAATTATGTAAATGTACTCGCTTTCAATTCGTTTTCACCAGTTTAAATAGGTTACTTTCTCTTCGAAAATGGATAAAATATAAATATTATTAATCGATTCTAAATCGCTTTTAAGACAGAAATGAAGAATATACATTTGCAAAAAATCATTTCTTCTGTTTGGTAAACATCTGTTGGGTCACTTTTCCCCCAGATATTATCAGATGTGTATTGTTGACAAAAGATAAGTAAGGGAGATAATGTGAAATTCTTGTTACAACTGTCAATCAAAGGACTGTTTTCTCTCACACAGACGTTCGCTAATTTGTTTATAGAATTAAACATGTCAACAGTAAATACCGGAACTAATGCCCCGGGCTGAAGGGTCGGAAACAAGGAGTTATACTCTGGGTAATATAGCCTTGACCAAATTGTCATATAGCACTAAGGCGTGATCCTGCCGGGGGCGGATTCAAACTGTTCTTATCTAGTGTTCTAGCGATCATTACTGTATTGTTAAACGTCTTAATTACAGACAGATAGATTATTATTGTCTGGTCAGGAAATGTAATTAAAGTTATCAAGCACCATCAAATGATAAAATTACAGGAAGTCCATACAGGGCCATTTGTTTGTTAGAAGTTTTGAGATCAGATATTATCTTATTTAATTAATTGATTAAACAGTATCTTACTTGACAATCGGGAGAAATGTCTATTTTTGATTCTGTTTGTTTGGTCAGTCCCTCATCGCTGTCGTCGATGTCAGTTTCCTTGAACTCGTCGTCACGATGACTGTGTTGAGTGCTCTCTCCATTAAGGAATTTATCGACGTCGGTATGCAGAAGAGCCATATAGTCACTTTCCGTTCCGTTCGCTGGTAAAACTACCACAGCTGGGTCCTCACGTTTGATCAGTGAACTGGAAATTAAAAGCATACACCAATTTAAATTTTTGGTGAATTTCTTATATTTTACTTGATTTTTTAAGAAAGATGTTACGCAAGACCATAAAAGCTGTACACTTTAAATGCCGCTTCTGACAGCCTCCCACAGTGTATATGACAGATTCGGCTATCGCACTTTCTTTTTAGATTTTCAGAGATTTTAATATTTGTTACGGTAATTCCTCCACACACATCCATTACAATTTAACAACGACGAATACTTGTTACTTTCATAGCGATTGTACAGTATACTATTAAAGTATCGCATGTCGAGAAGAAGAAAATGGAAAATGGGAGAATGACTACAAAGATTGGCGGATACCGAAGTTTTAATATTTTTTTTGAGGTATACAAGTATATATATGCATTGTCATTCAATGGATCCTAGGCGTATTTCTTTCTATTCCAACATCAACAACATAACACTGGACCAGGATCTTTTATCCCAGAAAATTAAAGACGTAAAAATATTGCGCTTTCAGTGTTAAGATCAATTAAAAAAACCCCACAGCATATAAATTCAAATCAAATGTTTGTACTTTTAATGACGCCTCAAGTTATCATCTGATAATCATCTATGTTCCAAATATAAATATTTTAGTGATGATGATGGCATCAAAACAACTAAAAGATATACTAATGTTATTCGACGTAGTGAGATACCAGTTTACAGACTTATAAAGTTTATACATCAGGGCATCAACTGATGCTATCACATGAACGTGGAGCCCTTTTTACCTCCCGATTCTAGATACTGGATCAACACTGGTAATACATACAAGTCGGTTCACACCCTGATACATCTTGTAAGAACTGGGTTGATAAAAAGAAAATCAAGATATTTATTACCAAACAAATTTACGTACCTTTTTATATTCTCAGATAATCTAGCCAATATCGTTATTTTTCTTTGAGTTTTTTTTCTTTCATTAAAATGAGATGCACATACGTGCGATATTTTTATCTGCATCTTCCACAAAAAACATACTATCACACGTTTCAATAAAGGTAGTTATCTGCATGTACAAATTCTCAATACGAAATGTTACAGATCAGCATAAGTTATTCTTCGTCATTTTTAGTGCTTTTTTATATATCAGGTACATTACTTTCTTGCATTACTCAATATGGTTATAATTTTGTAGCTTGCATATTAGTTTTCTAGCGAAGGAAATGAATCTCCATGTTTATTGTTTATTGTCTTATTTACAGCCATGGTAATTTAAGGACTAGCCAGGGTTTAGTGGTGGAGGAAAGCCGGTCACCAACCTGCCCCACGTCGGCCTCAGACCCGCGACCCAGAGGTAATAAAGCCAATCAGACACCTTAACCACTGCAGCCCCTTGATATTGAAAGATCAATATGATTGGTTCAGGGACGACCCGTTCGAAAACCCCCGAGAAACTTAATTGAAAGTATTTGATTGAAACAAAAAATGTTCCATTACCAACTTTATTTTCTGTTTATATCTAGAAGCTTTTTATATAGTGTCACATGATTGTAAACCGTCCGTTTGAACTGAAATGTCTTTTGCTCTGTTACTAGATGACTTACTTAAAAATGTTATGGGTATTCATTTCACAGCAAACAAACTCGTAAATGTGTCATTACGTGTGCATTTTAGCTTATCGATTGCCATGGAAACACACATATTTATGGTAAAAAGTTGCTTTAGGTGGTCGGTTGGCGCAATGATAACGCACTCGTTTTTAACGTAGACATCCGGGGTTCAATTCCCGGAACGGACGCGAAATGGTATGGAGACACCTGTCCGACAACGCTAGCCAGTTTTCCCTGAGCACCTTAGTTTTCTCCCACAGTAAGACCCCTCGCGCACTTCTATCCGGACCAACAAGAATGATTAATATAAGCTGATAGCTTGTTTTGCAATAGATGTAAAATAAATTAAGTTTATATTTTATTAATGGCTCTCGGTTGCTGACCCCACCGATCCTAAACCGAGACGAAGTCATGTGGTGATATATCAAGGACACCCTCGATATACTTATTAGTGTTCTTTCACAATAAATTATTCTGTGTATCGCATAACTATATCCATGCATCACGATCGGTACTATTTACTTCACAATGAAGCCTTGTGTTGAAGGGTTGTACCCATACGAGAGTTCATCAACTGGGGACCGAAGTGACTGTCCCGATACTACACGTACCAATGACCTCGCAAGTGGAGGAGGATCCTCTTACCCCAGAGTAGACAGATGATCAGATATTGGTAATTAGTTGGGCGTTAGACGCCATTCTTGCTGTCAGCGTCAACTATCACACACAGGCACAAGTGTAAAGGGGTGGGTATCTTTATTTTTAGAAACAAAGTGCATTGTATAAAGAATAGTATTTGTGAGTATCCGTAATGGGTTTGGATACCGCGTGGGTATGGGGGAATCCTTCATGGGGATGGATACCGCGTGGGCATGGGGAATCCGTCATGGGGATGGATACCGCGTGGGCATGGGGAATCCGTAATGGGTTTGGATACTAAGTGGATATGGTGATTACTTAATGGGGACGGAAATCTAGATTGTGTATAGATTACTAATGGGGACAAAATTGAGTGAGTGTAGTGATAAGGCAATTGGGACGGATATAAAGTGGGTATGATGAGTACGTCATCCAGACGGATATATAGTGAGTATGATGAGTACGTCATTGAGACGGATATATAGTGAGTATGATGAGTACGTCATTGAGACGGATATATAGTGAGTATGATGAGTACGTCATGGAGACGGATATATGGTGAGTATGATGAGAACATCATCGAGACGGATATATAGTAAGTATGATGAGTACGTTATCGAGACGTATATATAGTGAGTATGAGTACGTCATCGAGTCGGATATATAGTGAGTATGATAAGTACCTATTTAGGACGGAAATCGACAGAATGACCACCACAGCCCATTACTGAATCAACGGAATGACCAGAGCTCATCACTGAATCAACATAATGACTAGAGCTCATCACTGAATCAACTGAATGACCAGAGCTCATCACTGAATCAACAGAATGACCAGAGGTCATCACTGAATCAACGGAATGACCAGAGCTCATCATTAAATCAACGGAATGACCAGAGCTCATCACTGAATCAACGGAATGACCAGAGGTCATCACTGAATCAACGGAATGACCAGAGGTCATCACTGAATCAACGGAATGACCAGAGCTCATCACTGAATCAACAGAATGACCAGAGCTCATCACTGAATCAACTGAATGACCAGAGCGCATCACTGAATCAACAGAATGACCAGAGCTCATCACTGAATCAACTGAATGACCAGAGCTCATCACTGAATCAACAGAATGACCATAGCTCATCATTAAATCAACGGAATGACCAGAGCTCATCACTGAATCAACGGAATGACCAGAGCACATCACTGAATCAACATAATGACTAGAGCTCATCACTGAATCAACGGAATGACCAGAGCGCATCACTGAATCAACGGAATGACCAGAGCTCATCACTGAATCAACAGAATGACCAGAGCGCATCACTGAATCAACAGAATGACCAGAGCGCATCACTGAATCAACAGAATGACCAGAGCGCATCACTGAATCAACAGAATGACCAGAGCTCATCACTGAATCAACTGAATGACCAGAGCTCATCACTGAATCAACAGAATGACCAGAGCGCATCACTGAATCAACGGAATGACCAGAGCGCATCACTGAATCAACAGAATGACCAGAGCGCATCACTGAATCAACAGAATGACCAGAGCTCATCACTGAATCAACCGAATGACCAGAGCGCATCACTGAATCAACAGAATGACCAGAGCTCATCACTGAATCAACTGAATGACCAGAGGTCATCACTGAATCAACGGAATGACTAGAGCTCATCACTGAATCAACTGAATGACCAGAGCGCATCACTGAATCAACGGAATGACCAGAGCTCATCACTGAATCAACGGAATGACCAGAGGTCATCACTGAATCAACAGAATGACCAGAGCTCATCATTAAATCAACTGAATGACCAGAGCTCATCACTTAATCAACGGAATGACCAGAGGTCATCACTGAATCAACAGAATGACCAGAGCTCATCACTGAATCAACTGAATGACCAGAGCGCATCACTGAATCAACAGAATGACCAGAACTCATCACTGAATCTACTGAATGACCAGAGCTCATCATTAAATCAACGGAATGACCAGAGCTCATCACTGAATCAACAGAATGACCAGAGCTCATCATTAAATCAACAGAATGACCAGAGCTCATCATTAAATCAACGGAATGACCAGAGCTCATCACTTAATCAACGGAATGACCAGAGCTCATCACTGAATCAACAGAATGACCAGAGCTCATCATTAAATCAACAGAATGACCAGAGCTCATCATTAAATCAACAGAATGACCAGAGCTCATCATTAAATCAACAGAATGACCAGAGCTCATCACTGAATCAACGGAATGACCAGAGCTCATCACTGAATCAACAGAATGACCAGAGCGCATCACTGAATCAACAGAATGACCAGAGCGCATCACTGAATCAACAGAATGACCAGAGCGCATCACTGAATCAACGGAATGACCAGAGCGCATCACTGAATCAACGGAATGACCAGAGCGCATCACTGAATCAACAGAATGACCAGAGCACATCACTGAATCAACCGAATGACCAGAGCGCATCACTGAATCAACAGAATGACCAGAGCTCATCACTGAATCAACTGAATGACCAGAGGTCATCACTGAATCAACGGAATGACTAGAGCTCATCACTGAATCAACTGAATGACCAGAGCGCATCACTGAATCAACGGAATGACCAGAGCTCATCACTGAATCAACGGAATGACCAGAGGTCATCACTGAATCAACAGAATGACCAGAGCTCATCACTTAATCAACGGAATGACCAGAGGTCATCACTGAATCAACAGAACGACCAGAGCTCATCATTAAATCAA